GACAAAGGCAGGGAGATTTGTATCAACCTTGTTTTAATACTGAGATCGTGTTTGTCCTTCCTTTTCCCACTGAGAGTAATTTTTCATCTCCTCTTTCCTGATTGAAATAGAATTGCCCACAGAGGCCTTAGCAGCACCGGATTTCTTATCCACACGTCTGGTTGGGTTTTTTTTTCTTTGTTCTTTTTTTCTTTGCCCTTGTTTGTATGAAATATCACTTTGACTCTTTGCAGTGTGTATTCCTTGCTTGGGCTCTATTCTGTGCTTATTGCAGTACTGTCGTGTCACCAAGGTGAAGTATTTGTGTATTATAAATGTATTTCCTGCGTGATGAGTGAAGACAAAAGACCAGCCATGCTACTAAACCATGTAATTATGGTGTAACAACTGACTCATGTCTGCATGCTCAGTTTCAGTCAGAGGTAATGGGTATGGCTGGTTACTTCTTTACAATCCATTTTATTCTGGTAAAATTCCATTAATTTTAATTGGAGTAACTCTAGCATAATGCAGTGGAGACCCAGGCCTAGGTTGGTTGTGGTTTTGGTTGATTTTTGTTTAACCTTAATGTAGCATGGCAGTATACTCAAATGCTGCTATTTTATGTCATCATTATTGGGTAGAATAAGGCACAAAAACATGAAGAGCCTTGTGCTCATTCACACAGGCTGAAAATGTTTTACACAGACTAAATCACCTTTTAAACTGCATGCTTTAGAAATGCACTTAGATCCAGACTTACTAGCACTGATTGAAAAGCAGGACTAAAAACTCACTGCTGAACGAGTTCTCTTTCGTTATTTAAATCCTCAGTGGGTGCCTTTTTGTCTTTATAACTGGAGAAATCCACAGTCAATTAATGTGTAGGTAAGAGTCAATATTTTAGAAAACATCTATGGTTTGGTATCAATTTTAGCCTAGGGAAAGCTTGGCCATAGTTCCAAAGATTTCTTATTTGAATCTTGACATTTGGTTTCTCAGTGCTCGGTTGCCATCAAGATTGGAACATTGCTGTTTTCCAAAGACACGCAAATCCCCTCCCAGTGCTTCCTTTGTATGCACACTAATCAGCCATCGAGACAAGCTGGCTATTCACTCTCTAAATCTAGATCAATTAATCTTCCACTAAAAGTGGAAAATGCTTGTGAAGAAAAATATTTGCGAGAGGCAATGTAATTGCTAAACCACTGGTTCTCAAGAACACATCTGTGATATTACAGATGAAGTATCCATATTTTGATTATCTTATTCATGAAATCACACTGTTTTGTGGCTACTCATTTCCTGTTGTTTTCCTCTTTTACAGATCAGGAAGATGAGTTTGGGCAGCTGGTTTGCTTTGTCCAGACAGGACGCATTTATCACATTTAAAAAATAACCTGGTAAAAGGTCACTACATTAAATCAGCATATTTTTTTTTACTGCGTTATTTTAGAAAATGTTTCTTTTTTTCATTTACCCACCTCCACACCAGAGATGTAATGGAAGATTAAAACAGTTCAAATCCACAATGACGGGGACAGCAAGCTCTGTCTAGAAACAAAAACTGCTGACATTGAGTAACTTCAGTGCCAGTGGTTCTGGTTTTGAAAGTTGCCCGTCTGTGTGATGGATTAAGTCCCATGCTGGCTGTGTGAGGTCTTTATGGCCCCTGTACCTATAGATGTAAAAAACGTATTTTATTTTGGTAAGCTAACCCATCTCTATTTCTATATCAACCGGAATTTTCTAGCTTCATGAACTAATTTATCGCCATTGGGGAAATAGCTGTGAGGGATGAAAATTTAATGTGTTTTACATGAAGGTTTCTTGGTTGGTTTTGTGTTGGTTGGTTGGTTTTTCTGGTGCCACAATACCTCGTGTTTGAGGGTGATTTATTAAACTTCTTTCTCTGAGAGGAACTGAATCACAATAGGCTGAGGTCCAAATCTAGCCAGGCTGGAAAAAGCCTACGTCCCACTGAATTTTAGAAAATTTGGACCTCAGTGACTTGCACAGTCATGTCGAAAATCTGTGGCAAGGCAGAGGACCTGGAGTTTTGGAAAAAAAAAAGTGTAGTGCTAGTCCTGTAACACTGCTGGTTTTATTCCAGGTGCCTTGTACAGGCATAACTCATAGCTAACTGTGTATGTTGTATTTGCAAAGTACTTTGCCTAAATGTGTGCAGAGAAGTCCACAGCTCCTCGAAGAGGTGCCCAGTTCTGCGTGCTGCTTTACATCGGCCCTCCTCAGAAGTATGGGACCTCCTCATGGTACTGCAGTGGGTTTTAGCATTTAGGGGTTTTTGAAGGCATTGAGGATTATTCTTTTTTCCACAGTTAAATAAAACAGTTGAAACTGTTCTGCATCCTTCAGTCTGCGTGAGTTCTTCCCGGTGAGAACTTCAGAAAGGATATGCTGGGTGTTTTGGTCCTTTGCCGAGGTTTTAATTTGCCTTGTTGCTGCATGCTTGCAATGACAGTCATCCATGCAAGTTTGACTTTGGTCTTTCCCTTACTCTAGAATGAACTACATGTCAGCATTCTTCTGTCTCTGTGGTCCTATGAAGTACTTGGCCATCTTCATATAAAGGTATTAACAGCTGCAACAAAGGATCTTACTTGTTACTTTCATGAAAGCTCTTGAATAACAGCTTAATTAATTCTCAGAGTGCTTAACATAGGCTTCATTCAAGTATGATACTATTTTATCCTTGTGTATTTTGAATACAAGATATTAAACAGTGCTTTAGCTGTAATGGTCTACTACATTTGCGCTTCTTACAGTGTAAATTATTTTCATAGTGGCAGGTAATTGCTCAGTCTTGTCAATCCTTCTTCAGTTGATGAACACTGCAGGGTGTACTTGCAGCCTCATGTTCAATGACTTGTAGATGCAACTCCCTTTATTGTTTGCTGTTCAATCGACAGCATCTCGTGACTAAAGCCGTGCGGGAGCTGTTTCTTAAGGGCTAAAACAATTGCCAGAATTGTCATTGCCCCTTCTAGCAGTGAGCTTGTTTGTGAATGCTTGGAGACGTCTTGAATGAGATTAACTACTTTGCAGTCAGTTTTCCTTCAGTGTTAATTGTGCTGTTAAATCCAAGGATATTGCATTAAAAATAATACCAGGCTAAAAAAAAAATAGAAAAAAAATAGAAAAGACAGGCACAACAGTTTCTCCACCCTTTTCTTAAGGTGTAACACAGCTGGTAGCTTTTCTTTTTATCACGCTCAATGAGGTCGTAGTCCCACCTCTCGATGAACAAATGAAGAGAACAAAAGCTGGAAACCAATACCTTGTTCACATCATGATTTTGTCTCTCGACAGCCCAGTGGATTTTGTAGGTCACAGGAAGTGGTAGCGTTAATGTAACCTTTTCAGGTCTAAGTTGCATGTAACATGCTCTGGAAAAGAAGTGGAGCTGGAAGGAATTAAGTGATGTGCTCTTACCACACCCTCAGTGTGCTGTCAGGAACCTGCTCATCAGAGGTAAGAGAAACTCCGCTGTTTCAGGAGCTATTTATTTTACAAAATGTATAGGCTTTAACTGTCTCCTCAGACAAATCCACGGAGGTTTTGCTTAATTGGATTTTATAACTTCCAGCAACACCCTGGTTACCATAAAATATTTGGCAAGTGTTGTATAAAAATACTTTATTGGTGTTTTCAGCAGGTAGCAGGTGCATAAACAACAGTACATAGTGACAATTATTAGTGCACTTACTTCAAAGGATGTATTTTAACCCATACACAGTGGTCTGACTGAACATGTCACAGGACTCAAATATCATCTACACAAAACAAGACATCATTTAGAAGCTGACTTCAGATGACAGTACTGATCTACTCAACAAATGTCATTGGAATAAAGTTGGGTAACGTTATCTTTTATTCCTAGCAGCAGCCAAGAAGCAGTTTGCTTACAACAGCCAAGTGTAATTGGCAATCACAACATCATAAGCTTCTGGGTCCTACTTCACAGCATTTGGGTTTCTGTTTGTAAATGTAGTTTTCAGACTTATAATCTTGAGCTTCCCTGTGCAATACTGTTAACTATGAGCATTTACCATGGCAACTAATTACGTGTTTCATTACAGAGCAGTGCCAACAGAGATGGGGAGTTGAAGGCTTTTGCTTCATCGTCATACTACCTCTGTTCCCAAAGAGGTCACAGAATAAATGGGCAAGCATGATGGAGCATGATGGGAAGCAGAGATAAAATGATAGAGGGATTTCAGAATGTCTTTGAGTCACCATGAGGGAGACTCTGGAGAAGCCGATGCCCTGCTGGCACTTTCCACGTCGGCACAGCAGCCCTCTTTGGCTCTGCCAGGATGCAAAGGAAACCGCATCAGTTTTGAAGCAAGGGTCAGGGAATGCCAGCAGGGTGCTTCAGGATGCTCCACGCCTCTGAGTCTGGCTGTAGACTCCTCAGGGCAGAGATTTGTCCTTTCTTGGGTAGTGGAAGGGACATCTATTGCACCACAACCAATGGGGATCTAGGTTATGGCTGTAAGTACTGTAGCAGTAATGATGGTGTTTTCCTGCAGAGGTTTGTTCTTTTCTTTCTGTATCATCACACACGTGTAATACCAAGTTTAAGGAAAAAACCCTCCAGTTTACAGGAAAAAAATCAGGTCTGCAAACAAGTAAAGCATAGTTTAGTCCAGTGGGTTTAGGTTAGATAATTATTTTTGTTAGCTTTTATTTTTCAGGTTTTATTTTAGCGAAATGCTGGTGCTGCTCTGGCTGACTAGGTGGCAGCAGAGCTCTTCTGCTGCAAGTGGAGGGGACACGTTTCACTGCCGGTGGTTAACGCCAGAAAACCCCTTAGCCTCGTATAACGCGTGATTTTGTTGTTGATGGACTAGAATAAATGAACAGTAGCCTCACTGCTGCCTTCCTCGCTTGCCCCAGATTGGGGCACTCAAGCTCTTCCAAGGAAGCAAGCTGCAGTAGTTTACTGTAATGCAGATGTGTTAAAAGAAGGCTCTTCTCATCCATGCACAGGCCTGCCTTCACTTCCAGCACTTCTGAAGGGGATCATGAGGTTGAATCTTTAGCTTCTTGGGACAGAGGAGTTTAATAAAAGCTCTCCTAAAGCTGTAGTGGCAGAGAGGGTAGAGGACAGGGTTGACAGCCGAATTGATCCACAGCAGCCAAAAGGAGATCTCGTACCAGAAGTCAGAGATGCAGTGGCCATGGCAGCCAGCATGGATAATCATGAGGAGAGTGTATGGTGCCCAGCAAATCCCAAAAATGCCCACGATGATTGCCAGTGATTTAGCCACTTTCTTGTCTCTAGAGAGCCTGAAGTGTTGAGCCACGCTCTGGGACACGATCTTCATCCGTTTCTCTAAGGACGGACTACACGCTGAATTTTTACAGTTCTTTTTATTGCAACACTTTGGTTTCTCAGAGCTCGTTGACAGCAGATCTTTGGCAGCCAGGCTGGCCGTGGAAGCCGCTGCTTGAGCTTTGCTCTTAGAGAGATCGAGGGTTTCAGCTGGTTCCTTCTGCTTTGCTTCTGGGCTCATTTCCATCTCTTCAGTGAAGGACTGGTTGTGCACTTCGTGGAAAGTGTCGAGACGTATTTTGGTACGCTTCTGTATGTTCAGGTAAATGCTCTGGTTGAAAAATGTTACACTGATGAAAGGGGTGAAAAACTCCAGTGTAGAGGCTGTGATGAGAAAATACCAGTTGTAGAAAAATTCTGCGTAGCATTCCCCAGTGGGTATGACACTCTGGCCCGACACATACTCCCAGCTGATAATGGCAGGTCCGTAAAGCAGGAACGCTAACACCCACACCATCACCATCTTCAGCACCGCTTGCCTGATGTTGCCTTGCTGGGCTCTGTAGACGACCTGCAATGGGAAACCTTTTCTTAAGTATGGCCACACACCCCAACTGGTTGAGGCTCTTCACAAATGAACTGTTGGCGTTTCTGGTAAAGTTGCTAGGCAATATCCCAGCAGTCTGATAGATTCATATGCCATAGCCAACAGGAGCAATTGCTAGATAAATCACACTCCTGCAGGGAAGACACATAACCCTCATCTTGCAGCTCCAAACCCAGATGTGGCTTCTGCTTAGTGGAAATGTACTGATGTGGTTGGAGCCCAACAGCCTGCTGCATCCAACCAACCCCAGCTACTCTCTACAGCTCCTAGGGAGAGGGATGCCTCAAACTCCTGGACAGGACAGGTATCTAGCTCTTGTAGCATGCCTTGTAGCATGTTATGTCTGGAGTCAGGGAGCAAGCGAACAGCAATGGATCTCATCTGCCTGTGCCTTGCTTGTTTCCTCCTGCAAAAGGCTGAGCGTTTCCATCTCACTGTGTACTGAGAGATAGCAGGGCAGTGCCCTGCCGGTGCTGGCACCATAATCTACTGCCTTGGTAGCCAGGGAGAAGCTGGGTTTCCAATTGCAATCTGCTTGTTTGTCCTGGAGATAATAAGCCCCTGCAAGTTGGTAATAGGTCTGCTTACCTCATTGACTCACTTGTATGCTGCTATCCTGCCATCTGGGAAGAGAACACCTGCACAATGGGGTCTGAGCCTTAAATTATTTAATTATGCCAGAAATACTAATCTGAAACCACAACTGAATTATGTATTTGTGGATAATTATTGCTTTCCATCACCAGGCTGAAAGATTCATCATTTCTGCAGGGTTCAAAGAGCTTTTAATTATTGCAGAGAATCTGGAAAAGAAAGCAGGAGGAGAGTTATTCCCCTCCAGGACTCACCGCTCTTGTTACCGAGAGGAATCTGTCATAGCTAATCAGTACGATGTTGAATACTGAAGAGGTGCAGAGCAGGTAATCAACCACCAGCCAGAGTTTGCAGAGGCTCCTCCCGAAGATCCATCTCCCCGTCAGCACATAGGGCACGTACAAGGGGATGCAGAAGGCACCTACAACCAGAGGGCTCCGTTGGCATCGAGACGCGGCTGCCTGCAGGGTGACTGCCC